TGTTTCTAAGTTTTTGGTAGTAATAATTCTTAAATGTTATAAAAAAATATGTCCAGTCTTCAGTGTGTGATTTCTTTTTTTATAGGAAGTTTCCATTTAACATTTTGTATCTCAGATGCAGTCTGTGGTAGTTAATGCTGCTGCTTTGTACACAAGTGCTTTGAATAGTCTCAGCGCCAAGAATGTATCCAATCTTTCCTAAATATGACTTGGAGTTAGAGTCACTGGTTCTGTTTAAGCCTCTTAACACAGATGTCCAAAATCCTTTAAACACTTGCAGACACAGGGCCACAGCATATTAGGAGTATATTCCATTTTGTGTCATTTTTTTTTGTTAGTACATATTATTCAGTGTTCTTTTAAGCACGAGTCCACTTGTGTCCTGTGAATAAACTAAGCTCAATTTATAAAAGAGCCTTTGTCATCTTCTAGTTCTCTCATCCTCCCAAAAAGTCCCTATGACCCTTCTTGTATGTCGTGGAGTTTAAGTGCATCATTTATCCATTGGAGTGAATTGTATTTCTTTTGAACTAAATGTGATTGAAGCTATTCTAAGGCCTTCTACCACTGATTAAATGAAGTAATGTACCTTTCAAAGAGATTTATATTGTGTAAATAATTTCAAACTGCAACAATAAAGTTTGTTTCTAACTGCACTGTTAGCATATATTGTGATGATTTTGCTTTCCTCAGGTTTGAAGACTTGATCTGGAATACTTGAGAGTTCTTAAAAGGCTTTTGACTTGTTTTCAAATGCAGAAGTCTCTCTGGGATTAACAATCCCTCTAAAAATAAATACTTTGAGTCAGTATTTGGCTTATACAAAGTTTACTCTTCACAGTTTTACATATTAAATAGGCGTGGTCATTGACCACTGAAGTTTAACATGTGGGAGGCAGGAATGAGATGGAACATGACTGTCAGGGGGATCACTGCCATTGAGGAAATGGAGGAAAGCATGCAAATTTTGGGCTGTTCTGAAGTTTAATTTATCCCCACAGGGGCTGTGTTAACTCTGGGGGACCATTTTACAGGGTGATCCATGATGCTGCAGACAGGCTCTGCATCCAGTGGCACAGGGTTAGATGCTTGCAAATCAGCTGGGATGTGTTCAAGGCCAGGTTGGATGGGGTTCTGAGCAACCTGGTCTAGTGGAAGGTGTCCCTGCCCAGGGCAGGGGGGTTGGAATGAGATGATCTTTCCTTCCAACCCAAACCATTCTATGATTCTGTGTTTCAATATACACGAACAAAACTGCTTCCTTCGTCTTGGTTGTGCACCCAAAGAGAATGATTTCACCAAAAGGATGGATTTTACTCGGGCTTCAGTTACTCTGTGGTGGATTTTTTGAGGAAGATGTTTCTTGGGCCCAAATCTGTGGTCCATTATGTGTCTGCCATCCTGAAAATGGCCATTTCCTCCATACCCCAAATACAAAATTTTGTGGGGTTTTTTGTAGTGGGCTTGATTAAGGTGTTATTAGAGTTTGTGCACATGTGGTAGGGGACAGATACAACAAGCAAGTAAAGAGGCATAGGAGGCTTGAGCCCTGTGCATCTTTGCTTAAGTAGGTTTCTTATGCATATAACAATTCTGTCTTAATTTGCAAGGCCCCCTCCTTTTCACTCTGCTTGTTTTCTGGAAGTGTAATGATCAGAGAGCAATGGTTTGTTCACATAATCAATGCAGCCTGAAATTCTCAAGTACCCCAAGCATTGCTGGATCTTGCCAACCTAAACAAATGCCCAATTCCGCTGGGCTTTTTGTTGCTGAAGTTCTACTACTGCTACAGGGTGGGTGAGTTAAAAATTGTTTTTCAATTAATAGAAAATACTCAGACTATGACTAGATATCTAGGGTTACTCATCCCTACTGAATTGCTGCTTAGAGCCAAGAGATGGTGTTTATCTGGCATCCACTACTCAAATACTCAAAGCTTTCCACAGGGAGGGCTAAGTTGTGGCTAGTTGTTGTTCACTGTTGTAATCGCAGTGAAAAGGACTAGTTTGTCGTCCTGTGCTGACGAACTAGTCCGAGGTAACATGGAATCTTTCTTTTCTTCCCCAGGCAAAAGTCCTTCATTCACAGCTTGGCCAGAAACTACAGAGCAAGCTCTTACTTGAGCTAGAAGTTGTCCATGGGAAGTAATGAGGAGTTTTTTTTGAGGTCATCCTAGAAAATATGATCCTGAAGAGGTTATTAATTTTTCTTGAGATAAAGAGCAAACTACAGACACACAACAGGAGGGAAAACAATGACGTGTGGTGGATTCCAACGTGTAATGTTTTAAAATGTCAACTATATAAAGTGTGCATTTCTAGGAGATTTCCGAGTGAATTTGCAATAGCGCATTTTACCTTAATAAC